CGGGGCGACCGGCGCGCCTCCCGGCCCGAGAGACCCCGGGGGGGGACCCCGGAGGAGACCCCACCGCGTCCCCCGAGATGCTCGGGAGAGACCCCCAGGCGGGCGCCGGGGGGGGACCGGGGGCCCCCGCAGCCCCAGGGTCCCCTGCACTGACCCCCGCCAAGCCCCTCAGAAATCTCGAAGTGACCCCAAAGAGCCACCAGGTGCCCCCCAAGCCCCAGCGTGACTAACCAGGCCCCTTGAGACGCCCCACACGGGATCCCCTGCGCTCCGGAGACGCCCCAGGGTGACCCCCAAAATCGTCCCCAGCGCCCCACTTAAACCCCACTGACCCTCTCTGGGGCACGGCCAGTGGGGTCCCAGCCCCCCACATCACCGTCCCCACAGCAGCGTCACGGCGAAGGGGACATGTCCCCATCCCCTCCCTGCTGCGCAGCCCTGCCAGGCAGGGGACAGGCAGGGGACAGGCAGGGAAGGGGGTGCCAGCCCTGTACGGCTGCCTCCAGTCCCTGCATCGCTGCTGGGCTGGGGGGGCAGCGGGCAGCACCCATCCCAGCTCCTCCTGGGGTGTCCCCAGGACCCAGCAGGGCTGGCTGGGTGCCCCGGGGGGGTGTGTGGACATTCCCCAGCGGTCCCTCGGCCGTGGCGAAAGGCCCCGAAGGATGCTGAGGAGTCGGGGCTTTGCTTGATCCTCCACTGGGGAGCCAGCGCTGCCAGCCCGGGGGAGGCGAGGGGGGGTCCTGGGGGAGCAGAGGCCTCCAGCAGCTGAAGGGGCTGGGAATCCCAAACCCTGACCGGCTCCGGTTCTCCCTTGCTGCAGGAGGGCATGTCCGTACCCAAGCAGACAGGCTGCAGGCAGAACTGGTGAGGGTAGCACGCAGGGACCCCCGGGGAAGCCCCTCACCGCGAGCAGTGACCCTTGCGTGCTGCCCTCTTGCTCGCATGCCGTGCAGGGGCCCTGCAGCCTGTCCTCCGATGCAGCTCCATGCTGCGCCCTTTTCCCTCCAGCCACGCAGCCCTGGGGCTGCCGCAGCACCTGCAAGGGGCTCTGCAGACAGACTCCCCCTCCACGGGGCTCAGCAGCAGGGGCTGAGCCCCCCCCAGCACCCCCAGCTGTCACCCGGAGCCTCCTGAGGGCTGGCAGGGCCACGATGGGTCCTGCAGAAACCGGGTGTGCGTTTATCCATGTGCCCGTCCATCCCAGCATCCATCTGTCCCTGCCCCTGTCCATCCCAGCGTCCATCCATCAATACCCCCATCCTTCCCAGTGTCCACCCGTCCATGCCCCTCTCCATCCCAGCCTCCATCTGTCCATGCCCCCATCCATCCCAGCATCCATTCCTTCATGCCCCCATCCTGCCCAGATACCCCAGGGATGGGCACCACCAAAGGGACCCCAGCTCCCACTGCGTGTGGAGCAGGGGGGCAGTGGAGGACCTGCTCTCTGCCCCCCCCAGTCTCCCAATTCCAGGTAGTGCTGGGCTGAGCCATGCCGGGGAATGTGGGTCCCTCCGCTGGGACTGGCCCCCTGGGGAGATGTGTTCCCTGGCACGGCTCTGGTAATGGGCCCTAATGGAAGCAGCGTGGCCAAGCGCAGGTGGGGGGGGCGGCAGCACTGTCGGAGCTGCCCCCGCTCATGGCTGGGGGTGACGGGGGATGTTTGGGGCCCCTCGCTCCAGCCACCCCCACAGTAAACCCCCATGGGGCCAAGCAGTGGGGTGGGGGGCTGCTGCACCCACTGCCCAGGGGCACCCGCAGGGACCCCCGCACCCCCTCACACCTGCTTGCTGTGGGTAGAGGGACACTGGGGAGGGGGCCGGGACCCCAGGGCAGTCAGGCTCCAGGGGGGGTTCGGGGGGGGGACAGAGGGTCTCACCCCTGCTCGCCTCCTCCCAGATGGGTTTTATGGACAGGCTTCTCCCTCCTTCCAGCTAATGGGCTGCGGGACCCATGGGAGCCGCTGTGTTAGGGTAAGTGCAGGGTGGGGCTGAGCTGGAAGGGGGGAGCCCATTTATTGCCTCCCCAGGGACCCCCGGCACTGAGACCCCCCCCCCTTCCCCTGCAGGCAGCACTGGTGCTGCCAGGAGGGCTGGGTCCCTCCCGCAGCGGGCAGATGGGGACCCCCACGCAATCAGGATCCTGCCCCCAAACTGCCCCTCCCGGGGGGGGCCAGGGATGAGCGGGAAGAGGATGGGGACCCTGGGCAGGGCTCGGCCTCAGCCCTTGGCCCCAGTCTCACCCAGTCCCGTCCTGGCATGGGGATGGGCACAGGGAAAGGGGTTTGGCAGCAGAGCTGGGAAAGGCGACCCACACCAAGCCCATGCCAGACCTATGCCATCCTGTACCAGACCCATGCCACCCCACACCAGATCCATGCTGAGCGCAGGCCACCCCCCATCCAGACAGGACCACCCCAAAGACCCCCCAAGCCCCCCACCGCCCATGCCAAGCCCCCTGGTGCGTGCCACCCGTGCCATCTAGTGGGGTAAGGCCAGAAGGCAGCCGGGCACCCACTGGGCACCCATTGGGTGCCCACCCTTCCCACGCCCAAAGCAGAGCCCTGTGTCCCCCCTGGGACACGCTGTGCATGGGACACTATCCTGGCACAGGGCACTGTCCCAGCATGGGGTGGGCGAGATGAGCAGCCCTGGCCCTTGGGCGCAGCCGCTTCAGCTCCGGTTTTATTGCAAAAAGAGTTCGTGGGGATGCGGGCACTTGGGGACGCTGGTGCCATGCGGGGTCCCGGCCCCGCTTGCTGCTGGCATGGCCCCCGCGGAGGGACCTCGGCATCGGGGGTGGCAGCCTGCGGTACTAGGAGGTACGGTCACCGCTGTGGGAATCCCTGCTGTCCCTTGCGCCGAGCTCAGGGCTGGCAAAAGCGTCCGGGCTGGCGGGCGAGGGGGACAGATGCTGCGTGTCCTGGACACCGGGGTGAGGGTCCCCGGGGGGCTGTGGGACGGCACCCGCTTCTCGTTCCTGCGGGGCAGAGGTGTCGGGATGAGCAGGGTGGTGGGGGCTGCGGTCCCCAGCCCCATGGTCCTGGGAAGCCCCACTGTCCCTCTGGCCTAAGACCACGCTGTCTATGCCGGGCAGCCTGTCCTCCCGGGGCCGAGCTGGGGCTGGGTTCGCAGCGGCTCCTCTGTCCTCCGGCACCTCATCCCCGCTGGCCGGTGCTGGGCGAGCGGCCCTCCCAATGCCGTGATCCTCCTCGGCGGCCACTGGCGTGACTTGCTGGTGGCACATGGGGCATGTGTCCTGCACGTAGAGCCACTTGCGGAGGCAGGCGGCGTGGAAGAAGTGACTGCAGGGGGTGATGACGGCCACCTGCATGTCCTGCGGGCAGGGAGAGGACGTCACCCGGTGGGCAGGAGACCCCCCTGGGCTGCCCAGAGCGGGGTCCCCCCGGCATCGCAGGGCTGCTGGCAAGGGGAGAGGGCTGACCTGGAAGCAGATGGCACAGACATCGTTGTGGTCCCGCAGCTGCCTGCCGGTGGCCCGGGGCAGGGAGTTGATCTTCTTGGCAGCCTCACGGCGCAGCAGAAAGCTCCTCCAGCCTGACTGAGCGCGCAGCCAGACATTGAAGTAGGAGTGGATGATGATGACGGAGGCGCCCATCCAGCTCCACTCCCCGAAGAGGGACTCCCAGGTGCCGTAGCCCACCACGCAGACAGCCACCAGGAACTCCAGCACCCGGCTCACCGCGTTCACGCAGTAGATGATCTCATCCATCCGCTCCAGCGGCGTGTCCTGGAGGAGCTCCACCATGAAGAGGGCATAGATGAAGAGGGTGCCCATCACCTGGGGGGTGGCGGGACAGCACCTTGTTGATGGTGGCCGGATGCCAGATTGCACATCCCCACCCAGTGTTCCCAGTTGGGGCTGGGGGAGGGTGACTGGGGCAGGGTTGTGGGCATGGGATGGGCAGGGATGCCCACCCTGGGGGGCCCAGTGAGACCCCAGCTGGGGGGAGCGGGACGTGCTGTACCTGCAGAGAGGTGAGCATGCAGCTGGAGACCAGGATCAGCAGCCAGAAATCCAGGTGGAAGAAGTGGGCGATCTTGTAGGCCATGAAGCAAGGGAAAACCAGCAAGAAGAGGCACATGCTGACGCCGCGGAAATGCTTCCAGGGGCTCCTAGGGGAGGCACAGCTCAGCGGGGCCATGCCCACCCCGGGAGCAACACCCACCTCCCCGGGACCCCACACTCCAGCCTCCTCCTCCGGCACCGATTCTGCCCAAAAACAGGCAGTGAGGACCTGAGGCGGAGCGAGCACATGGAGGGCATGGGACCCAGCCTGGCTCTTCCCTGATGCAGGGTGGGAGGAATCCCGCCGCTCCTCCCCGCTGCCCCCCAGCACAGGGGACCATATCCTGCTGCTCTTCCTTCCCCCAGTACCTGTTGCGGGAGGCCCCCAACGCCAGCACAATGGGATCAGCTATCTCAA